TTTTTTTTTGATTTCTTGATATATTCTAGATAGTAGACCTTTGTCTGGGGAACAGCTGGTAAAAATATTTTCCCACATTGTCGGTTGTCTCTTAGCTCTGTTGGTGGTTTCTCTTGCAGTGCAGAAGCTTTTTAATAAGATGAGATCCCAATTGTTGATTCTTTGTGCTATTTCCTGTACTACTGAGGATTTGTTCATAAAGGTTTTTCCTATGCCAATGTCTTCAAAAGTTCTACCTAACTTATCTTTCAGCAAGTTTAGTGTTTCTTTTTTAATATTTAGATCTTTAATCCACTTTGATTTTAGGTTTGTGCATGATGAAAGATAGGGGTCTAGTTTTAATCTTTGGCAAGTTAAAATCCAGTTTTTCCAACACCATTTATTAAAGAGGCTATCTTTCCTCCAGTGAGGATGGTTGGATCCTTTGTCAAGCACTCACATACTTAATCCTAGTGTCCTTGAAACTAGCATTGCACCACATGCTCTAGATCCACCCACCTCTGAAAGCCCCACCTATGACCACATGAGGCTTTGGGGGTCATCTAAACACAAACCATAACAATGGTATCTAGCTGTAATGTCAAGAAAAAAATCAAAGGAAAATAAGTCAAAATAAAGTATTAAAATCAGGGATGACTACTGAAAATGATATAAAATGTCTTCACAAATTTCCATCATGCCACTAGGATAAGGGGGACCATCCCCTCAATCACACTCAAGGAGTCTCTGACAGCACAGTGATTTTCCCAGAGTCCTCCAAGCCAGTTCTATACTCCAGGCTCCCCCATTTTGCTCAGGCTCTTGCAGCAGGAACAGAAAAAAGAGACCTGGGACAGCCAAATAGCTTGGGCTTCATGAATTATATCTTGTGTGTTGGTGATTTTCACATGGTGTTTATTTCCCTAGAACTCCACCACCTTATCACAAATTTCGTTCTAGTTAGTAAACATGAACTTAAGCAGCTGTCTGTCTACATGTTTATGTGCCAGAATGGGATCTGGTGCTCATAAACCCTAAACAGGGCTAGGAGGCCTTTGTCTGTTCCCCACCATGATCAATTTTGTCTTCATTTTTCTCCTTATCTTTCCCTTTTCTGCCTCCTTCCTTTCCCTCCTACTTAATTAAATTTTATTAAACTTAATACATGCCTGGTGCTTTAAACACATTTCCTTACATCCTCAGTCCATCTTGTAGTGAATCATATCACATTTCACAGATTAGGAGACAGAAAACTAAAGCATAATTTTAAAATGTGATCAAAGGCAGATACATAGAAGTGACAACCTGGAATTCAAAGCCAAATCTTTCTGACTCCAAACTCAGAAATTCTGCCATGCCCTATTTGCTAATTGTCTCCTAATCCTGTTAGGATTTCTCTTTCCCCTCAGTCGTAGGTTTTTTGCCAAAACTTAAATGTATTTTCTCTGAAGAAGTTAGAATTATACTCAGAGTCTTATGCTCAGAAAGGAGGAAAATATTCTGTAAGCACCAGTAATTTTAAAAAGCAAGGTACAATGCTCTACAATCAGCCCCTTTACCATTCCTCTCCTACCTCTGAGCGTGATAGAGTTCGGTTGATGGTGACAGCAAGTGACTTCAAAAGAGTGGGCTAGCCTTGATGCCTAGAAAGTTTGCTTGCTTTCAGCTCTTTTAATTTGTACTTTTATTTTTTAATTTACACTAATTGTATATGGTCCTGGAATACATAATCTATTGGGATAATCAACATTTCCATCTTTTTATCATTTCTGTGTGTTTAGAGCCTGTGAACTCCTCTCTTGTCATTCTTTATAAAATATATACTGGGTTATTGTAAAACACAATAACCTTACTATGCTATATAACACTAGAATTTATTCCTTCTATCTGACTGTACTTTGGTACCTTTTATCTAATCTCACTCTATTCTCCACCACTACCTTCCCATTCTCTTGTAATCATTAATATATTCCTTTCTTTCATATCAACTCTTTTAGTTTCCACATATGAGAAATAACATGCACTATTTGTTTTTCTGTGTCTAGCTTAAGTTCCAATCATTCTGCTGCAAAGATAGGATTTTACTATTTTTATATCTGAATAATATTTATATAGTCATATATATATGAACTTTTCTTTATCCTTTCATCTTCCAATGAACACTTCTGTTGAATCCATATCTCATCTATGGTAGCTGTGATGGCTTGTGTCTAGATGCCCCCCCCCCCAGCCTCATGAGGTCATAGGTGGTGCTTTTCAGAGGTGGCTGGATATAGAGTATGTGATGCCGGGATTAAATATATGATGCTAGGATCACAGGTGTGTGATTACTAAATTAGTCCACAGATTGTTTTGGCATAGTTCTGGAAGTGCATAATGGGAAGGCCCTCCCTGGATGTGAGTGCTACCTACCTGTAGCCTGGATAGAATATAATCGACAGAAGGAGGGCTACTGTCTATGGTCACTTACTGCTTCTTCACTACTTCACCGCTACTTGCCTTCTGTCTGCCATGAATTCTTTCTTCTCTACAATGCCCCTCTGCCATGCCACCCTTCCTTAGAGCCAGCCAACTATGAACTGAAACCTCTACAAACTACGGGTTAAATAAACCTTTCCTCCTTTAACTTTGGGCATCAGGTATTTTGTCTCAGCAATGAGAAAAGTAACTGAGACAGTGGTATTAGTGCCACAGTGAAAATGAGAGTACAGGCATCTTTTTGATATGCTGATTTTAATATGCTGAAGAGGGAGAGCTGGATATTATACTAGTTCTCTTTTTAGTGTTTTTCAGGAATAACTATATTGCTCTCTATAATGACTGATGTGAGGCAGACATCTGGTAATATCCTTTTGCTCAGACCACACACAGTAGGTTGAGGGCGAGGAGGTTGTTATAGATCTTGGCAGGGATTGCATGATATAGTGCACCACCAAAGAGTGTCCTGCAGCTGTAAGACAGTTTATGCCCTTCAGTCTCAGAGATGGAAACTGCTGCACAGAGGGAGCACTTAATACAATTCTGCTCTAATCAAACAATGCCATCTCCAAACCCCAACACAGTTTCAAGAGGCCTCTGCAGAAGTCTGTATCTCAAACTCTCAGTGCTATCTGTAAGTGTCCTTCAAATGGCCAAGGCTTCACATTCAATGTTGTTGTCTTACCTCCAAGGTAAAAGAATGATAAAATCTTCCTTTCCTAACTTGTTGACTATCTAAAGTCTCAGATGGGATGGTGAACATGACAAGTGTATTTGAAGAATACTAAGATGCTATACAAAAATAAGTCATAATTAGCATTTTAATAAATTGCACCATGTGCATTGTGTGTTTTCAAGTATTTTCTATTTTTTTTTACTTTAGAGGATGAGGAGGCCCTTAATAAATATCCCTTCTCTATTGATCGTAGATGTTGGAAAAATTTTTATCATTACTAAGAGAATTTCCCTGAAAATTTCCAAAGATCCACAAAAGTTGATTTTTCTCTCTCATTTTGCCAGTTTTTCCCTTTTTGATATTATGACTATGGGGGAAGAAAACAAAGCTAAAGTGGTTTGTCTGCTGCAGAACTCTGTAAGAATTAGGAAGCTGAAAATTAAACCCAGTTACCCACTTGGCATTTATTATACAACAGTGGTATGTTCTCTGAATTGAATTCCCTTTTAATGTCTTGAATTTTCCATGTGAATTGAAGTGGAAATTGGTGAATTGGATGAAAACAGTAGTTGTCGTTTGTGTTTAGTCTTAAAAAGCAATTATCAGATCAATTAAAACAATATAAAGAAATATTTTAAAAAACTTATTCAGAAATAATTCTGGAATTCAGCTTTACTAAACCAAATCTCAGTTATCATTTCCCTTCCTTACACTCAATACAAACATACATCCACACACCCATATATGAACACAAATAATTTTCAAGAACCTAAGAAGTTTTATTAGCCATGAACTTTTATGTCATCCTCAAAACATTGCCTATTTTGAATAAACAATACATGCAATTATCTAGATGTTTAGATTTTAATTTTTCTGGCAAAAAAATGAAAGCCAAAGTATATTTTTTTTTCATCTCTGTTGATTATCATTATTAATTCTATTATTTGTTTATTGAGAGGAGTGTTAAGACAAGAAAAATAATTTTCAGGTATTATATTGATTTATTTCACTTACTGATAAATTCTATATTTCTGCTTGCTTACTATCTGTCTCTATTCTTTTCTCTCTTCTGTCCTTCCGTCTTCCTTTCTTCTTTTTTTCCTTTCTTCCTTCAGGCATGATTTTATGTATTACATTTAAGGTCTTCACTCCTTCATTATACTCTTATCTCTCTGGGAATGAATGAATGAATGAATGAATGAAACTGCCTTTCCATTTAAAATTCAGGGTTTTCTTTATGAAGGCTTTTTCTCCAACTCTCTTCTCTCTCCAGCCAACTCTCATAATTCCTATAACCTAGAAGACAAGAGACCTGATAGCCTTCACAGTGAGCAACTCCAATTTTATAGATAGCAAAATGAGTCTGATGAAGCAAAGAGATTTTCAATTCTCGGAAACACTCAAAAAGTTTTTTCCATCACAAAAGAGTAATTAATGCAGAGAGGCACAATGAAAAGCTTTTCTACAGGTGAAATTCTCAGAAAACTTAAGCTATCTTTTTTTGTCATTTCTATGATGAATACCCCAAACCATTTGCTTTTAAAGTAAGATCAAATTAATTACATTAGTGATCATTTACAGCAGAAAAGTTAATGGGATGTCTTTGAAAGAAAATGAGTTTAGAGTTGTTACTTTTCAGCTTCATTTAAAAATACAATTGTTCATTGAGTTTCCTAGGGTTATGACCTCATAGCCACACAGACACCCACATTTCATTCATACATTCTCCTTTTGTGCTGAATAAGAGGCATCACTTCCTCAGCTCTTTCCACCTGTAAAATTATCTTGATGTTGACCTCGAATCTTTAAAATTAGGAGCATTCTTTTCCAAGAGTACTCATGAAGGCTCTAGACACCTCTTCCAGTTCTGATATTTCTGATTCATTATCCCATCCTACTGCTGCCGAGAGGTCATAATCTGTGCTGGCAGGAAAGGTGGAGATGCCCATGGATGATAAAAAAGAGTACTAGGCTAAGAGTTAGAAATCTGAAGTTGCATTCCTATTCTTTAGCTAACTAGCTTGGTAAGCTTAAAAAAAATTACCATATAAGTTTTATCTATAAAATGAGCACTTTGATCCTCCAGACCATCTAGATTCTCTCCCAGCTTCAAACATTTGATGCTTCCTTTGGTTTAGCTTATTTGGTCTTGTGTTGGGAAACTGGTGGGGAGAGCCGTCATCCAGCTCTGTTTCCAGGTATTTGTTAATACTGTCTCTTTTCATTTCCTACAAAAGGAGTCAAAGGCCATTTAACTCCATGATTAATGGTCCACAGACCTGTATTCAGGCATTAGGTAGCACAGAGCCTAGAAAGCACCTTTATTAACAATGATTCCCACAATATACTGCATTGACATACTTTTGCCAAATGAAGAGAGAATCACAGTAAATATGGATAGGGGGCAGCACTGAGGGGCTCCTGACCTGAGCTTCCCTAGCTTGTGAACCACTGTGGTGGGAAAACCAGGTCTTGCCCCAGCACAGCATCCTCCATGGCTTTTGGACTAAATTCAACAGGAACTGCCTTTTCTTTCTCTCCTCTAGGAAATCTTTATTGGGATATCTCAGTTTTTAAATCAAAACTAAATTATGATTTAAGTAATTTTTTTAAAAATTAAGAAACAAAAATGTCTAAGAACCTTTGTTTGTGGAACTATAGGTGATGGTCACAAACAGACTTATGTCATGTTTAGGGGACTATCTTAACCCTACTTAACCTTACTTCCAATAGGTGCTTTCTGGACATCTGTAATCAAGCTTGATCTTCAGACAAAACCCAGAATGCCTCCATGTGACTTCTCTCCTGAAAGATATGAGGTAAAACTCAGGGATTCAAGAAAATCCAAAGAAGTGCTTTCCCACAGAAGGTCTCAATCAGTTTTGACACAAGAAATACCTACAACTGCCTCTGCTTGCCACTAAGCTGTGCCATCCCAGATATTCTATCCTTTAAATCCTTGGGAATTTCTGAAAACATTCCACACAATTTATTACCAGTGTACCAATTGATGTATATGTGTGGGAGTACAAAAGATAGACAGACAGGCAGGCAGATATTGATATATTGCAGAGATAGATACATCACACATGCAATGGCACACATTTCCTTTTTTTAAGTCTCCTTCTTTTAACTAATTGATATGGCAATACATAATCTGACCTTCTAGAGTCCTTCACTAAAATTTATAAAGTTATCTTTTTGCTGTCAGACTAATAATGATTGTGTGCTTTCTCACACACATACACACATGAACACACACACGTGCACACACTTTTACCTTTTACTCTACACAATACTCATAGGTCTGAAATTATAGACCCACAAAGAAGAGAGATACAAGAAAAAAGTTTTATAATCAAAACTATAAACACCACTGGCGCTTCATTTATTTTTTACTTTCAAAAATAGGAACAAAAATGTTACTTCCAAAGCCCCCTTCATTTTTTTTTTTTTTTGTGGTACCAGAGATTGAACTCAGGACCTTGTGCTTGCAAGGCAGGTGCAGCATCACTGAGCTAAATCCCCAGCACTCCCTTCGTTTTTTAAAGGTAAAACCAATTCAAAGCCAAATCTTTCCATTGACAGATAAAAATTCCAGTCCCTTTCTCATGTTTTCTCTAGAAAAGGATCAAAACCCACAAATCATAATTTTGCCTACTAAAAAGAAAGGAGTCAGGAGCTTCTAAGAAGGATGTTGGGTAAATACACCCATATGTGATCCTTCATGCCTCTGGGCTCCGCTCACCAGGCACTGTTAAACTGACCTGCTGATGATCCCATCAGCACTGTGGTGATAAGTAAGAGATTTTAATTTTGTCTATCTGCAGTCCCTTGCCTACGACCATGCACTGGAGATCCACAGGAAACACCTTTCTCCTGTGGCAGCAGCATATTTCCAGAAGCCCCTGATGCTCCACCAGGGACACATGGAATGGCTATTTGATTACGAGGGAAACAGATACCTGGATTTCTTTTCCGGGATTGTCACTGTCAGTGTTGGTCACTGCCACCCGTGAGTATCCTTCCAATCCAGGGGTTTTCATTCAGAAGACTATGTAAAAGAACACGTGACTAACTCAGAACCCTTCATTTGCTTACCCTAGTTGAAAAATACCTATTACAGATTGTAGCTGCCATACTCCCAAATACGCTTCTGGGTAACAACTCTTGACACTGCCCTTTGTTTTCTGACATCACAAGCTCTGCCCATTCTCACTGCACATGCTGAGTGGCATATACTGTGTGCTTGGAGTGTTTCTTGGTGTTTTTCACTAGTAACGGAGGAAGAGAAAAGCAAGGGGCTTTCAGAGAAACATGGAGAAAAGAGTGTAGGATGAGGGATGATGAAAGATGAGAAGCTCTAGTGTGAGCTCTTCATGGACTCTGGTTGATAGGTGAGGAAAGAAATGCTAATAAGATACAGATGTACTTTTAGCTGGAAATTTATTTGGAAATGTATGGAGCAATTAATCTTGAGGCTGTCTGAAGCCTTAATCATCAACTCCCCCACACATGTTTTCAGCAGGTTCTTCTACGGCCCTTTTGGGTTCTGTGTGGCCCTTTCATTTTAATATCTGATATGACTTACCCTTAACAGTTTGGCCAATAAAACATATTAAGTCACAAGGAAAAAGCAGTGAGTCTAAAATAAATTTTATAGGATTAGGCTCTCATATCAAAGGAGGAGGCAAAAGATCTTCTCTTTCAGCAGGTGTCAGTAGTTGAGGAATGAGTTGTCCCTGTAGACTCGGGCTCACCTTCTCCATTTCCTTCTCTTTGTCCTTCCGTCTTCAGGAAGCATCAGTCCCATACAAGGTCCCAAGAAGCATCCAAAATAAATTTCAGATACAATTTAAAACATAACATAAACATACTTAAAAGAAGTAGAGAAAATGGAATAGAGAACAATTTTAAACACTTTCGTTCAATCCTCCCAATAATGTCGGCATTGTCTCTGATAGTTGACCATTTGTGTCCTTGGCTTTCATGACCTTTGTGTTTCTCTTGATTTCCATCTGACCCAAAATTGGTGTCCCTGGTTCTGTTCTTAATTCTCTGCTCTTCCCTCTTTACTTCTTTCATCTCTTAGTTCCCCCCACCACAGAACTGGACCCACCTCATTCCTACCCCTGCCTACTTAGTTATTGCATTTTCAACTTCCTCACTCAACTCTTCAGCCTTGGTGCCTAACCAAGCTATAATAATGAATCAAATGAGGTCATAGCAGACCTCAAGATGCCCCAGATTCTCTGCTACCGTATAGGATATCTCTCACTTTTCATATTCCACCATCAGCTCAAATTTAACATTTTCAAGGTTAAATCCACACAAAGCTTTTTAATTAACATATTCATTTATTTAAGGGTCACATGTGAACTACCTGCTCTGTGAAGCAACTGGGAACTAGACAACAGCAGTATTTCTCAACCATTCTTAGGGTTTTCCCAGTGATCCAGGCAAGACTACTGAATTCATCTTTGAAGCTTCCCTACATTTCATTCCCCATAGCCAACTCGATGTCATGGACAGTTCTCCCTCCACAGAAATGCCTCTCCTACTGGCTCTTCTCCCCTTATTCCCATCAACTCTAGTGTTCTGGGAGATCTTCTTCCCATTGTGAGGCCACTGTGCCCACTGTTATGGTTTTGATCTGGAATGTCCCCTCAAAGCCTCTTTAACTCATTTGGGAAGTGATTGGATTATGGGGCATTGTACTTATTATCAGTGCATTAATCCACAAATGAATTCAGAGCTAAATGTGCTGATAGGAGGTGGGGCCTGGTGAGAGGTGGGTCACTGAGGGGGTAACCTGAAAGGTACATCTCACTCTCCAACTACTGCAATCTCTCTGCTTCCTGCCTGACATGAATTGAGCATGTTTTCCTCAGCTGGGCCCTTTCATCATGCCATTCCTCCCTTGGAGCTAGCCAACCATCCACTAAACTATGAGCCAAAATAAACCCCTCCTCCTTCAATTTGTGGGTGTTGGGTGTTGTGTCTTGGTGATGAAGAAAGTGACTAAGACACCAATCTAGCTGGCCTCCATATTAGCAGTAATCCCTGCTCCATTTTAGGTTTCACTGGCTCTCAGAATTTTTTTTTTCTAAACAGTACTTTTGTCAAGTATTTCTTCTTTTTAAGAGTGCACTGACTCTCCGAAATTTCTACAGTGAGATTCCTGGAACACTGATCACAAGGACAGTTCCATGAAGAAGAATCGCTTGAGAAAATAAGTTTAGGAAATATTTTAAACTCTATCTTCTTTCTGGAGAGAAATGGTGTACATTAACCTATTAAAAGTATTAACAAGTCCCAAGTAAAGTCATCTGTTTGATCTTGACTACCAGATTAATTATTCAAAATTATTCAAGCACTGAACTGATTTATTTGTTTTTGTTTTTGTTTTTTTTGGTACCGGGGATCGAACTCGGGTGCTTGCACTTTTGAGGCAGGCAGCGGAACCACTGAGCTAAATCCCCAGCCCCAAACTGATTGATTTGGAGTAGCAGATATTATTAAAACACAGAATTAGGGTAAAACGAACTTTAGCAATTGCTATTTTTTAGATGAAGGTGAAACACCTTACCCTCCCTTTCCTGGTCTTCCTAGAGGGGCCCACATATTTATCTACATTTAGTTCCTGCTTTCCCTCAGTATGAACTTTCTGTAGAGTTGGCTCAGTCCTTCAAACAGTGTGGTTTCATCATTACAAGACATTCTTCAACACTGACCACTGCTCAGAACCAGGTAATGGGATCCTTTGGAGGAAAAGCTCTTGGTCATGTGCACATGTATTTGATGGCTCTACAGTTCTTCAGAAAAATAAAAGGGGAAGATACTCAGGCTTACCACTAAGTCATACTTATTTCTAAAATGCTCAAATGATTGTTTAAAAAAAATTAAGTAGAAGAAATTCTAAGCCCAAACTCCCTCCTAAACAAGAAATTTCTTGTCTAAAATCCCAAGCACACAATCCTTTAGCCTTCTTTGAGCAATGAAAAATTCATTACCTTTTGAGGCAAGACACACCATTGCTGGACACCCCTAGTGGCCAGAGGAGTTTTTTCTTTGCTGCAGATGAAACCTGCAGCTTGAGACTTTGAGAAATCACCGTATGCCTGAGTTTAGTGGCTAGAATGTGTGTTGGAAGGATATGCCCGGGGACAGTGTGGGTGACCCTGCTCTCCTACTTATCCAGGAAGGTAAACGCGGTGGCACAAAAACAGCTTGGACGCCTGTGGCACACGAGTTCTCTCTTCTTCCACCCTCCAATACACAAATATGCAGAGGAGCTCTCGGCCCTTCTTCCTGAGCCCCTAAAGGTATGGTGCTCTCAACTCAAAAAGATAGTCTCAGGATTCCAAGGGATTTACCCAAAGAAGCAGGAATATGGGCAGCGAATTCAGTCAGTCCATTGAACACTTGTCATGGTGAGCTGTTGGCCACATCTGGAAGCAAGCAAGCAAAAGAAAAGAATTTATGAGCTGCTGATGAAACAAGCCAATATTCACTTGCATCTTCTCTGATCTTCTTTCCTTGGTGACTCTTGTTATCAAACCTTTGCCAAAATCACTGTCCAGCAGCCCCAGTTCCCTTGGTCTTCACATCTATGTCCCCAGAAATTTTCACATCTTTTCTCCTTAGCTTCTCTGCAAAGTTATTTGCATTTCTTCTTTTACAAAGAACAGAGCCATTTTTTAATAATTAACATTAATCTAAAATGCACTTAGATATTTTTGTTAAATAGATATTTTATGCACCTGAAATGATTGAATTTTTAAACTGAATCGAGTTGTAAAACTGTTGACCAAAATTGGCATTTAAGCATTAAATGAATTAATATTTTTGAAGAATCTGTAATAGTGTCCAGTACCTGAAGTTAGCTATTGTTGTACTCTAGCATCTATATTATCTAGGACTCTATTTACTATATTATCTAGGATATATAGAGAAACTTGGAATAGCAGCAATCTATGTTCAGACCCAGATGTTCATGAAATAGTAGAAGTAGGGTGGTCAGAAGTCATAAACACATGCTTCCCAGCCCCTGTCTGGGGACTTGGTTCCCTTCAGTTCTTCCCATTCTTTCATCTAGGCTGAGCTGCACTTTTTATTTGCTCACTTGTATTTTTTTCAAGGTACACACACAACATAGTCAGGCTAGAAGAGCCCTGGGATTGCAGGATCAAAGGCCTTCCAAGCCTTCAGAATCAGGTGGAATGGACTATATTGAGGAGCTAGAAGACCTTAGATATATTCAATCATTAACCACTGTGTCCTTCACCAAGTCTTCCTATCTTAGCATTTCACAGTTAAAAACAATGAAATCCAAAATTCTTCACAGCTCAGCCAACCTCTTAGCTCTTTTTGTATTTCTAACACATAGCACCCACTCAATGAAAAGCTGAAGAATTAATATAACACTTAAATAATGGGACTTCTAGGTAAACTGATCTGAAGGATTCCACCCTTTCTTTCTGAGAGTGAGATACAATCTTGAGCAATTTTGCATGAATTGAATAATCAGGAATTAAAGTGGGGGTCATATATCTTCTTTTTCTCTCCAGGTCATTTTCTTAGTGAACAGTGGCTCAGAAGCCAATGATCTGGCCATGGTGATGGCAAGAGCACACTCAAAAAACACAGACATCATTTCTTTCAGGTAATCACACCTTAGAATAATCCATTTTGATGACATTGACTTATCCCAATACTAAATGTGTATCTTTAAATCTTAGCCTGAAAAAGGAAAGAAGCTTTTCTAGGATATCTTTCTAATTTTAAGTTTTAGGGAAAGAGCAGTCAAGTGAATTTAATAACTAGATAATCCCATCCAAATTGGTTTTACAAGTCCTTGACAGTTATAGTAGTATTAAAAATAATGGAAAACTAAGAATTTCTTCACAGTTACCTGTTTTAGAAGACTCAGAAGGATAACCAGATTCATAAGATTTTTTATAAAAGACAGCAGTAACTTACAGCAAAAACTGGTGGAATGAATAATCCCATTTTTTAACCTAACTAGCTATAATTTCAGTCTAAACTCATACATTCCATATAAAATCCACATGCAGTAATTAAAAGGATAAGGAGATATTTGTTATCAAAGAAATATGAAACAAAGGATTATGATTAATGATTTACCAAAATAGCACTCCAGAATATGTATATCCAAATAAATATTGTTCTATTTGAAGGAGTCATGTACTACCAAAGTTTAACATATGTTGTGTCTCCTCTTTCAAGATATATAACCATCCTTCAAATAATTGTATATCTTCATTTAAAGGTGATCTGGATTTGTGAAATGGTCAAAATTAATTAATCTGATTTACACTAAATATGACTGTTTCATGTTCAAAAGAAATAAAACCTGTATTTCTTATAAGTCAAATAAGGTGGTTATAAGTAATTTAAAGAGACTGACAACAGCTTCATCACAAGAACAAATGCTTGTCTTTTCAAGGTGACTACTTCAAAAACTAGCAGTCATTGAACATATATTTTCTGGCATGTTGCTTATAGATGAGGTTCACACCTTTAAAGTAATAATATAGGGCAAGTTTTACAGTCAAAGTTCTTAGCCAGATGACTTCAAAACTCCTTTCACAATTTCAAATCTAAGATACCATCTGAAAAGATAAATAAGTACATTCATGTCATATAGACTTAGAAGAGTTCTTAGAAATTCTCAGAATTCAGTGTTTATGTTGTTCTAGTTCACCTCTGTAGCCTTCCTAGATTCTTTTGTGCATGTTCTACTCAGGCCAGTGATCCAAGAGACATTAACATGACTCCATCCTCCCATTTCTTTTCTCTGCAGAGGGGCCTACCATGGATGCAGTCCTTACACACTTGGCTTGACAAATATAAGCACCTTCAGGATGGAATTCCCCAGTGGGATGGGTTGCCAATCAGTGAGTTTTAAGGTTTTGTTTGTTTATTGTCTTGTTTCTCGAAGGACTGCTGGGTACGTGGAATAATTGATAAGGTTTTCTGGATATTGTAATTAGAAATGAATATAAGGCCTGTCATTAATCAGAGCATCAACTTGACTCAATTTAATTAAAGACCATTTAGGGAGATTGTTTCTTAGAAAGGCCTTCAGAGTCTGAGTAATAATTATTGATAGAGTTTTTAAACTTCTTTGCTTCTAAGTACAACCAAGTAAACCTAAGACTCTGAGAATGTTGAATCCACAAATTCATCACTGTCCTCACCTTCTGTTCTCACATATATCAATCTTTTCAACCTCAGAATCAGATATTTAATTATCTTTATTCTTTAAAGTCCCCTTATCCAATAAACCTTTGAGAAAGTTGTTTCTAGACTAACATTTAAATCGGTTTTCTTAGAAGAGTGCCCATATAAGTGGTTTCTGAGGGAAAAAAAAAATCTCTTCAAAGTAGAATATGAGATTTTCATCCCAAGGGAGGGGAGAGTGAGGAGACAGAATCTCAGTATCAAATTCAGAAGCCCTCTTGCCTTGATCGCTACCACATACCCCCCCCAACTGGCTGTCTTGGGTTCATATTTTGCCAAAATCCTTTTTTTGCATTTGCAGACAATGTGCCCAGATGTTTTCCGTGGCCCTTGGGGAGGAAGCCACTGTCGAGATTCTCCAGTACAAACAATTAGGAAATGCAGCTGTGCACCAGGTCCAATGGGGCAGGGAGGAAGGGGGACAGTGGAAAATCAAGAGGGGTGAAGAATGAGAAGAAGAGCAGAACCATCCCCGTAGGAACAACCAAATTTGGAGAAAAGGGAAAGGGAAAAGTCAAAGGAAACAAAATTAGAAACTAGTAAGTGACCCCCTCATAGAATCAACACTTTTCATGCCTACCACTGCTTTACTACCAAGGCTTCCCTATCGCCATTAGGAAAAGTATCTCAAGCTATGGGAGATAGGTTTAAAACCCACTATCACCTGACAATTGATTAAAGGCGCTCTATTAGTTCTATTAACATTAGCTCTAATCTCAATTATAAAAGAAAGTGAGGTGGATGGGATTATTTACCAATTCCCAATGGGACAAGAGAAAAGGAAAAAGAATACTTTTGACAATTCAAAACTCCAGTCAAGAAAAAAGAAAAGTTCTCCAGGGACTCAGAATGCCAGCCAAAGTAAAAGCATCTGTCAAAACATGAGGCCATTCCTGGAAGCTGGTGACATCTCTTGTAAAAGTTCTAAAAGCAGATGGAAATTTTTTATTTTATTAGTCACATTTTTATTTGTATTTTTTGTCCTTCTCAACATGAAGGAAGGAAGACATGCCATAGAAACATAATTTTCACTTTGGTTTTCAGCAAGCCCTGTCTCATATTTGTCACCATAATACAGGACCTTTTCAAGAAGTGCTCCTGAGTGGTTCTGAAGAACAAACTGCTGTAGCCAAAAGATCTTTAAAGGAATAGCTTGAGTCACCAGGTCGAGAGGAGGAATGCAAGGCAGAAGTCTTAAGAATCATCCTTGAATAAAAGAGTCACAGTCACCACAGTCTTCAAATTCATGTGGAATTGTGGTAAATGGAGGTAGGAGGATGGAAGAATGAGCACTGGAACAAGACAAAATATCCTGGTCACAGGATTTAAAACCACAATGAAGTCCAAAGCTATAATTCAAACTTTGCATTTTAGAGACAAGGAAACTAAGGTCCACATATAGGAAATGAGAGAACTAGAATTTGATCCCGGGTGTTCTGACTCTAAAGCCAACACCTGTGGCTGCCCTCATTCACACTGATGCCTCAACAAGCCAAAGCCAAGCTGAAGAACAACTTTTGCTCTTCTGGCCATGCTGGAGGAAGTGCGTGAAGTCAAGAAATCTCAATTCCACTTCCAGTACTGCCAGGGTTCACCTAGGACAAAAGCACCATCATTTGCTTCAGTTTTCTCCTGTAAAATAAAGTTAGCAATACCTATCCCCCCCCACTCTAACTCTCATCACACTGTATGATATAGGGCATACAAACATATTTGCAGAGGAAGGAAGTTAATAGCAATTTAAATTTAATTTTTACTTAACTATATGATGTCTGTGTGCAAAACCACCAGCACAGAGTCTAGTAGACAGAATGCTCAAGAGCTATTCATTTCCTCCCCACTACACAACCATATGTTTGTCCGTCTCTCTTTCTCTCTGTCTGTCTCTCTCTCTCTTCCCTTCTCTGCACCCTCCTGTTTTGAGGGCTTAAAAACTTGAAAACGCCAGACCTCATGGTCATCTCTCTAGTCATATCTAAAGGCTAAATGATGGTGGGAAGCATATATTTCTGCCTCTCTGACCTGCTGTCTTTGATGTATACAGAGTCTGCTGTTTTCTTAACCACTTACCAGTCTGATTATTTAAATACAGGATGAACAAAAATTGCATATTTTTTCACTAATTTTTATAAGATAACAGGAAATATAAAAAGGACAATTTTATCAAATTCATTCAATACAAGAATCAACTGGTTGAAATGACACCTGCCCAAGTGATTCTCAGGACAGTATGTAAACAAACACCGCTGCCCAAGTGATGCTTGGGATAAATTGTTAAGTGGTTAACTCTTTTTTTTTCTTTGTAATTAATCATATGGGTACACTTTTTTTTTCATATTGGTACACTTTTGACATACATAATGAGCATATTCATCATGGGAAATTTGCACCTGTACATCATATACCTTGATTCTTTTTACCTATTCCCCTCCCTTCCCCTCAATCCTCCTTCCCTTCTCCCTTTACAAAACATTGTTTCTATTGTTTTCCTTCCATTCTTTTTAAAAATCTCTATTCCCTCTTTTTCCTTCCCTCTTCCATTCCCTTGTTCCCCTTTCGATTTGAATATTTTCTTCCACAAAATTGGCCAATTTTGGTCCTTATTTACTCTTTGGGTTTCTCACACAAGAGAAACAATGCAATATATAAACATGTGTATCATATTTATTTCACTTAAAATTATGTTCTCAAGGTGTATCCATTTAACTAAAACCATCTCAAGTTTATTCTCCTTTATGACAGAGTAGTACTCCACTGTATCTTCAAGAGACAAGATTGATATCATATCTTCAAATAGGTTGGAATACAAAAAGGGACCCCAGCCTCCTCCATTTGGATCTGAGAGTGTTTGGTCTTTGTTGTCAAATTGGTGAATTCACAGATCCATATCAACATATTGAGTACTTTGAGTATAGAAGACTCCAGTTCTAAATTCCTCTCAGCCTGTCCACTGTATGCATACAGGTTCCAACCATATTAGGAATATTTTCATTTCAGAGTTATGTTATCAAATCCCAGAATAGGCAGGAGGCTATTTTGTTTGGGTATTTTTTGTTTGTTTGTTTGTTTTTGGTACTGGGAATCGAACTCGAGGGCAGGAGGCTATTTTGTAAGCCTAATATAGTTTTTGTTTTAATGTGGTAGCTGTTATCACACTATGTCTACTTTCCCAGGAGTTTTTCTCTCCAGAGGTTCCTTCCAAGCCCTGACTTTCAGATACAACCTATATGAAATTCACCTCTCAATCCCCACTCCCCCCATAATGTTCCAGTCCTGCTGTTGATTGTACCATTCTCCTTTGGGAATAAGTTTTCTTTTCCTTAAAAAATGTTGATCTTTTTAGGTACCTCATTCTGCTCTTTCTGTATCACCAACTAAAATAGACTGCCATAGCCACACTGTGATAATGTACACATCCTCTTGAAGTTACCATGGAGACACTAATGTACCAAGTCTCTCTCCAGAGGCTGCCTAACCTGGAGTCACAGCAATCAGCCTCTGAAGCAAGTATGAAATACAGAGATGAGTATAATGACAAGCCTCTTATCACTGAACATGTGGGCACATGGAAGGGAAAGCCATGAAATATCTAGCACAGGCTCAAGCAAAACCTTCCTTTGGTATGGCTGTACCCAGATTTAAGCCTTTGGATTGATTTTACTCTAATCTTTGATTTTTGTAGCTACAAAAGGGCTTGCTTAATCTCCAAATTATGTCTTTTCAATATCTTTTGATCCATCCTTTAGGGTTATCCAATGCCATTTTCTCTTCCTTTTCTAATAGAGAATTTCACTCTCTAGAAGCATAGATTTGTCTATGGTATCCCATCCATCAAAACAATATAAGTGATTCTAAAAACATACTTTTCTGAGTTTAATATTCCTGTCACTCTTCCTTTTCGTGCACCTAACCTCCAATCTCCAACTAACCAAAGATATCAGATAGATGTCAATTGAGTTGCTAAAATATCACATTTGGGGCCAGGTAGTATTTTTCTTCAGAATGAAGAGCTGAAGTATAAAGTGTATTTTTGCTTTAGCTATGATGGAGATTGCTGGTGGATTCTCTTCCGTATCTCTAGCCTTCAGGAGACAAGCTATGTTCAAACCTCTAGGGAAAGGATCCCATAGTGGATGGTGATTCTCTCCCATCCAGACTGTTTTCACTGTCATAGGGTCAGAGGGCTTCTATCCCATTCACATCTCCCTCTGTGTTCTTTCTTCTGGCCATAGATTTGGGTTTAAGTTCAGAGATGCTATAGTGCTCTTTTGAATTAAATTATAAATCATAAAAATTCTGAAAATTCAATCATTTGTGAATTCAATGGATCTGGGATCTTTAGTATTCCAAGAGTGGAAGAATTCCTCTCTTGCCCTTTCTGCTTCCTTGGTGGTTCCCACCTTCAGTGATCACACAGACACACACACACACACACACACACACGCACACACACAGATAGCTTCTGAGCTTAGACAACCCTTCTGAGCAATCTTCCCCTTCCTTGTGTCCTCTTTCACCCACAAGATGTCTATTTATGTAGGGAGTCTAACAGATAGGGTAGCATCCATCACCAACAGCAAAAACACTTTTACCATCTTGAAGCAGGATGTGAATGCAAAAACGGTTACTAGTATGATACTTGAGCTGGATGGACAACAGTTGGTAGCATTAATATGACAGCGTATGTTATCTCCAGCTGTAAACAACCAAAACTCCTAGATAAAATATGAAACACATCCTCTTTAAAGTATTGATACAAAAAAGTAAGAATTCTCACAAATCCCTGAAAATCAAATAATGGTTGATTACTACAAGTAAAAGTATTTCACATAAGAGTCTGAACTTATCTATGGTATTTAAAGTTCATTCCTTGAAAAATCAGTTTAATTCTATACAACTAAGCTCAGGTACATTACTTTTAAACCTTTCTGTATATTAACTAAAAAGAAATATCCCACTAATGAAAGTAGCAACAATTTAACTAAAATTATCAAGACCTAGGAAACTCAAGGATTACTCTTTCCCACATTTTATCAAAAAGAATTTGAAAACACATCAATAACCAAAGCCAAGTTATTATTTCGAGAAAAGAAAATTCTTTATTGAGGAGAGATTTTTTTCTACACTTTCAAAATTTTTTATAACAATGAAAATTACTGAAAAATAGAATGGATCCTTTTAAAGAATGAAATAAATGCCCCCAGAAATCCAAACAATACACTCCATTCTTCAGAAAAAAATGTCCCTATAATTCAAAAGTTTCTCTAATATACCTGTCAAAACAACCCACAAGAGGGAAAAAGTGGGCTTAAAAGGTCATTTTCAAAATTCGAAACTATTCTAGAAACACAGGGAACTACTAACTCGAAATCCTATTTTAAATTTTCCTCACCCATACCCTGTTTCTAAACTTTAAATTTTTACAAATGTTTTAAACAAAAAACTATGGATTTCTAAAAAACATAAGTAAACAAAAATAAAACAATTCTCAAAAACCTAAAGAGGTCATTAAAGCAGTGTAGCCGCTTTTGGCCTGAGGGCATTTGTCAAATCTGGTAAACTTGGGCCTCAGTTTTTATAGTTCTTGGGGTGCAGGAAAGAAATGACAAAGTCCAGGGCAGAGCCAAAGAAAAGTTCATAAGGAAGCCTCCTCTTCAACAGAGCTGGAATCCCCAAGAGCCCACACCCTTAGCCATGGTCAAATAGATATAAATGTCCCAGCAGCAACTCACCATGTGCAAGAAATCTGCAAGGATTCTCATGCTGAATGGAAGTGAAGGGGACCTGGGAGGAATAACTACCAAAACATCTGAACCACCATGAGATACAATAGAATATATATGAATATATATATATAT